ACGGATAACTGTAGCATCCAATGAAGACGTCGTCCCGTACAACGCCTATCTTCTGATGAAATACCAATGCCACATAAATGTCGAATGCTGCTGTTCAATCAAGGCCTTCAAGTATATCTACAAATACATCTACAAAGGGCCCGACCAGATAATTTTCGAGATGCTTCGAAATGAGAAACTTCTAGCTATGAATGCAAAACTGGATCAGAACAATGATAAAGTTGTGGACGTAGATATGCGCGACGTTTTTCTGGAAGCACGTTGTTTATCGCACATGGAATCTGCTTATCGACTGCTTCGATTTCCTATGCAGTATAACATGCATACAGTCATTTCTCTCAGTGCCCATCTCCCCGGCCAACAGCCTGTATATCTAAAAGGACCAAATGCAGAGGAAGTGACTCCTGTGAGTAAGCTTTTAGCTTACTTTTCTCTGGTCAGAGAGTGTGAGCGCGCCAAGCACATGACATGGATTGAGGTGGCAGAGCAGTTCTGGTTTACTGGCAAAGAATATAAGCCCTTCAAGAAATCCGGTCGACGTATAGCTACCTTATGGCCTGTCAACCCAAAAATGAGTGAACTTTATGCACTAAGAAAACTTCTCTATAACGTTCGCGGCGCTTCATCGTATGAATATCTTCGCACTGTCAACGGCATTACTTACGATAGCTTTATGGGAGCAGCCGAGGCCGCCGGTTACGTCGTGACGGAAACGGAGTGGGAGAAGTGCCTGGAGAGCGCTTCTGCTGTCGCTATGCCTTCTGACATACGACGGCTTTATGCTCAAATTCTTCTGTACTGTCGGCCAACGAACCCAGTGTATTTGTGGAATCTATATAAGTTCTCGATGAGAACACGTCGCCGAAATCCTAATGAATCAGAAAGCTCACTCGATATGCGTTCATTGACTTACATCGAAACCATTCTAAAAAACAATGGTGCATCTTTGGAGGACTGTGGACTCAAGAGTATCAAAGACGCTCTTTCATCGGAATCCGGCGTTGAACTTGACGGCAAAGCAAGTCCAGGAGTTCCCGAACGCACCGTCAACGTCGCAGATAGTTTGACACCTGCGCAAGAACGTATCGTCAACGCGATTATGGCTGAATCTAAGATTCCTAAAGGAAATGGTAATAAGCTCTATTACATTGATGGGAAGGCTGGCTCT